GGATTATGTGACACTTTTCATACACACGATGGCAACATGATCAGCGGACCAAATGCAGGAAGCCGGCGGGAGCCCAAGGCTCGGGCGGCGGCGGGAGCACAGCCCGCCAAGCTCGGAAGATGCTGGGCCTCTCGAGGGGCAGATCTAAATTTTCATTCTTGATTAGGAGGTGGAGAAATCAAGTCCAAACATTATTCCTACGTAATCCCTTCCTAAGTCAGATCGATTTTCTCCATGAGCCGCTTGGTTCCAAGTTCTTCCCCAAGTCACTTGGTGGTCTTGCCGCTGCGGTTCAGAGCTACCTGCGACCCCTTTCCGGAGCCAGGGCGGTCGTTTGACCTGTTTGCCTCTTCCAGAACGGTTCCAGCAGCCCCCGCGGGGTCCAAGAATGCTGCCTCCATTCCTCTCTGACCTAAAAGCTGCGGGTAGGGCCCGGAGATGGTGCTGGTTCCTGCTTCAGAAGCTGAGCTCGGCCAGGCTTGGCGGGAGCCACAGGAAACCAATCCATTCGTTCCAATGTTTCTACAAACTTCCTTCGCATCTGTGGGGTTATCTACAAGTTTTACCATATCTCATCCTAAATCCCCAGTTCCTGGTGAGGGGGTGAGAAGATGCAGGAATGAACCTCCCCCGACACAGGGCTGTCTCCTTCCTAGCCAGACCAGACTGCTCTGATGGTGTCACAGGAGGGCACGGGGCTCAGTTCCGAGAACTGGGTCGCTCAGCAGCTGGGCGGAGGCCCTGAAGAAAGCTGCAGGATGCCACTCCTGGGGAAGCCCGGGGGTGGCAGGTCTGCTAAAGGTCGAGACAGGGGCATCAAGGAAAACAGTCCCAAAGGCGGGGCCAGGTCGATCCCCCACATCAAGCCTCCAAGTTGCATTTCCTGGGTCCCCTCCTCAAGTGACTCTGAAGCAACCTCAGGCTTGGGTGCCACCCTCCAAGGTGGGGGGGGGGGCGCACACCCTGCTGGCCACGACCGTCCAGGGGACAGACCGCAGGCACAGGGCATCAGATCATCTACACGGTGGCCCTGGCGCTTGAAGACATATCTCTGCAAGGAGCGCCCCAGGCGTGTGGAGATGGGCCCCAGCAAAAAGCTCCAGTACAAGGGCGGCCACCTGGGCCAAGGTCAGAGGAAGTAAATGGATGGAGGGCACAAGGCCTCATTTGACACCCCGCAGCATCTGGGGGTCCTGCTATCCGTAAAGATGCTTCCTAGTTCCTCTTGACCCAGCGGGAGGCAGGCTTTATAGACAGGACGTGACAAGGCCAGGGGCCAGGGGCATGGGTGATGTCCAGGGGGTTCTGTGAGGACCAGCTGTCCGAGTGCCCAGCCACGACCCCCACCCCCAACCATCCCATGAGGATGAACTCACGCCCCTGGGAGATCTCTCCTCATCCAAGATGCCTGATGTTGATCTGGAGCGTTCCTTCGGGAGGACAGCATTTACATGGAGGAATCCGGTAACGTTTCACTTGGATCCGAGGCGAAAAGGTGGAGGAAGTTGTACACAGTACTCCATAAAATTAAAAAGTTAATCCAGACAAGACCCAGTGCAGCAGGGCTGAGGTGTCTGACTTCCTCTCCTCTGGTGTCAGAGTGCTTGGACCCTCGGCCGGGTCCATGGGGGGCCTCTTTAAAGGGAGCTCAGAGCAGGGCAGGGATGGGGAGGGTGATGGGGTGATGACATACTTCATTATAAATAGCAAACCTGGAGCGATGAGATTGCAGAAACGAAACCCACATAAACCTACAAAGTCCTCTCTAGCCCCAAGGTATTGTAAAAAGTTACAAGGGAACAAAAATGAAACCCCTTTTCAACCTGGGTCAAATGGGGGGCAAATCCAGGGTGAGCGGAAGGTGAGGTGCACCCTGTGAGTATGTGAGCACGCAGCACCTCCCCTCCCCCCCCAGCTAGTCTCTCCATCCTGGGCTGCCGGCTCCTCACCAGAGCCCTCCCCTCTGCGCCCCACCCTCCCCACTCTGCTCCCCACCCTCCCATCCAGCCCAAATACACCCTCTCCCTTTTCCGACCCCGACCCCACATCCGGCTCTCTGGCTCTGGCTGAAGGTAGAAGGTAACTACGTCAGGATGTTGGACATGAACTCGTTGAAGCGTTTGGAGTACTGCTCAGGGTTCACAGTCGAGATCTCGGCCCCTGCCTGGAACACACACAGGCCATGGCTCAGGTCAAGCTCCTGGCCCTAACGGGGTGGCTACTGGGAGGCTCCAGGTGGGAGGAGCCTGGGGATTCAGGAGCCTCCGGCTCGGCGCGGGAGAGCAAGGCTACACCTCAGGCTGGCCAGGCCGCCTGGAGGAGCGGTTCCGTCTCAGAGTGGCCCTGGCCTCACTCCTCGGATTCCCAACCCCGAGCCTGCGCCCCCTGAAGGAGCAGCAAGGTGGTGGGGAGGTGGGAGAGAGACGCAGGATCTCTGGGCGAGGTCCCTGTGTGGAGACAGGAGCTTCAAGTCCAAGGGGAAGAGGGTTCTCTGGGGAGGAGCATGGGCAGGTAAACCAAGCTGTTACCTGTGGTCACGCCCAGGGGCCCTGGGGAAAGGAGCCAGCAAAGCAGGGGGAAATTGCCCG